GCGGCCTTCAGGGTAGACAAAGCAGATTGAAACGAAGAATCCTCAGGGCTGAGGAAGAGAGGCAGGGCGAGAGCCAAGGGGGCTTCCTGGAGGAGAGGGCACCGGTGTTGGGGTTTAGCATCAGACCAAGAGTTTGCTGGTTAGGGCCGGGCGTGCTTGTACAAAGACTTGGGGGCAAAACCGTGGTGTCGAGGCCGGGGTGGCAAGTGGTGATAGACCGGATTGTGCAGGGCCTTGAAGGGTTTGAGCAGGAAGGGGTGGGTGACCCCCGTGTCGGGATCCGCTTGGCCCCTTGACTGCGGTGCACGCACGGCGGAGCCCTCCCGCTTTTCCTCCAGCGACTCGGACTTCGATGATGAGGAACCCCGCAAGTTCTACGTGCACATCAAGCCCGCCCCTGCCCGCGCCCCGGCCTGCAGCCCCGAGGCAGCTGCGGCGCAACTCAGGGCCACGGCTGGCAGCCTCATCCTTCCTCCCGGCCCAGGGGTGAGGCATAGGAGGGGTGTTCGCGGGTGGGGCCGGTGGGGCTGGCTGGCTGCGCCCGACCTGACGCCACCCACTTTGTCCACAGGGCACCATGAAACGCCACTCTTCACGTGAGCAGCCTCCGAAGGGGTCTCGGGTGTGGGGAGGAACACGAAGAGGGGAGGCTGGGCCTGGAATATGAGTGTGGCTTTGAATCCCAGCCCTGCCGTGTAAGCAGGCTGCTTACCCCTTCTGACCCTCAGTCCCTTCTTCTATGAAATGGGGTCATTGCGAGAGTTAAATGAGAGCTGAGACAGGTTGGCTCGGGCGCAAAGCCCTCTCTGCCCGACTGGCTGATCACCTTGGACAGCTGGCTGGACAGACCCAAGCCTTAGTCTCTTGGTCTGTGACAGAGGGGGCACTGGAGGCAGGGTGACAGGAAGGCTCAAGGTGGTGTATCTCTCATAGGGGACGCTGCTGGAAAACCACAGAGGCCTCGATCTGCCCCAAGAGCCAGCAGGTGGGTCCTATAGCGGGGGGGGGGGGGTTGATGGGGACACACTGGGCCAACATGAATGAGCAGGTGGGGGCTGTCCCTGACTCCTCTCCCCTCTTCCCCTGCTGCCTCCCTGTGTCTCTGCCTCCCCTCCTCTCACCCTGGCAGGGAGTTGAGGGCATGCTGTATTTGAGGAACCACTTAGTCGTTCATTTGACGAGCATTTATTGAGCACTCGCTGTGTACTCCTTCTGTTCTGGGTTCAGAGACATATGCCCAAGATAGGTCTTCCTTCTCAGATTCACATTCTCGTGGCCCGGGGTTTTTTTTGTTTTTGTTTTTAAGCGTTTATTTATTATTGAGAGACAGAGAGACACAGAGCATGAGCAGGGGAGGGGCAGAGAGAGGGGGGAGATACAGAATCAGAAGCGGGCTCCGGGCTCCGAGCTGTCAGCGCAGAGCCCGACGCGGGGCTGGAACTCACGAACCGTGAGATCATGACCTGAGCCCAAGTCAGCCGCTTAACCCACTGAGCCACCCAGGCGCCCCATC